CCTTGTCGCCTTGTGAGGGGGATTATTCCCTTTGTCAGGTAGTGCCTTGGATGGATTCTTCAGCATCTCCAGTTGTCCTCTACTGACACGGGTCGCTACACGCCAAGCCCTCGTAGATTCTCCTCTGCCGACACTTTCCAACCCTAGAAACTACACCGGGTAATTTCTGAGGGATGAGTTTATCGTACTTAGGGAATGAATGGAGTGATAAGTAGTTTGACCGGTATACTTTTTCCCGAAGTACACCGGTCAAATTCGGACCGATCAAATACCCACTTGCTGACGATTAAAGTCTCCCTTTCCAGAATTTTCAAGATTGACCAGTCAACTATTTGGTCTTCTCCTTTGACCGGTCATGGGTGGAATACACCCACCAACAAGGATGAATGGAACCATGTAATAGTTTGACCGGTATACTTTTCTAAAGTATACCGGTCATCTTTTGACTGATTTGAGTGTCCTCTAGCTGATGATTAAAGTCCTTCTCTTTAACTTTCAAGATTGACCGGTCAACTATCTGGTCTCTTCCTTTGACCGGTCATGGGTGGAATACACCCATCAATACTAAACTTACATTATACAAAGTGGGCTAGGTGACCAAGTGGGCACGACCATGCCGCAAGGTGTAGACTAGTTGACCAAATGGACGAATAATTAATAATTTTAGTTTGACGCAGTACTAATTTTAATAATCGTTATAGTTTATTCTTGAAATGATTTCAGGAGTGAAATCCACGAAGTTCACCATCGTTAACAATTGTCCGTACACAATTTGGCCTGCTACTCTTACCGGAGGAGGCGGTAGTTCTCAAGCCCCGACTGGGTTCGAACTGGCACATGGTGCATCCACGTCATTTGACATCCCCGCCCAATGGACAGGTCGCTTTTGGGCAAGAACAGAGTGTAGCACCCAAACCAGCAAGTTCTTATGCGCGACCGCCGACTGCGGCTCTGGTCAAGTGGCGTGCAACGGTGCTGGAGCGATTCCTCCGGCGACTCTAGTAGAATTCACATTGGGGGGTTTCCAAGGTAAGGATTTCTACGACGTCAGCTTGGTGGACGGATTCAACCTCCCCGTCTCTGTTGTGCCGGACAACCCAAACTGTCATCGGACGGATTGTCCGGTGGACGTGAACGCGAAGTGCCCAACGGAGCTGGCATTGAGGGATGGAAACGGGGCGGTGGTGGGATGCAAAAGCGCATGTTTGGCACTGGGGCAACCGCAATACTGTTGCACGGGGGATCATGGGTCGCCACAAACATGCCCGCCCACCCAATATTCTTTATTTTTCAAAGGATTGTGTCCCAATGCGTATAGTTATGCCTATGATGACAAGACAAGCACTTTCACCTGCAACACTGGTCAAGCCAATTACGTCATCACCTTCTGCCCTTAGAACATATATATATATATATATAAATCGTGTTGAGATTTTATTTATTTGAGATTAAATGTCTTTTAATTTTTTTCTTGGTGTGGAAAACTTTAATTTGTAGTGTCATGTATTGTTTCTCATCACCACACCGTTGAGATCACAAAAATAAACTGCTATTTCTTTTCGAAAATATTTTTCCCAAATTTCTTTCTTTTTAACTAGAAAAGAAATACTCATTACCCCGTATAACATTTAGAATATAATTACTACAACATTCAATTTCTTGATATATTATACCACATCCATCTAATGTAATGAAAACCGGACCGCACCGGCTAGTCAAATCGATTGGACCGCTACCCCTAGAAGTACGTATCAGGCTTGATTCAATGCTCAAATCATTTTAGGAAATCCCGTCCAAACCCGGTGGAATCAATGAATCGGGTTGGCTCGGACGGTCCACAGGTTTGGATTAAAAGCTTATAAAACTATTAACTTTTATTTAAAAAACGGTGAGGTTCTAGTGGCACCGAACTCCAGTGTCACTAGAACCCCACCGTTTAAAAAAATATAACTTTTAGTAATAGGTTTCAGCTACCTAAGCCATTACTAGGTTTGTTAAAATTATCATACAGTATGATGTGTGTGTGTGGGTGTGTGTGTGTATATATGTTTTCAAGTATTTGTCTAATTATAATTTTGTGTAGTCAAAATTGATACACTTTAACTATCAATTAAATGAAACGAAAAAAAAAATCAAGTTTTACTAATGTCATCAGTATATATTTAATGCTCCGTATTTGGCTTAAATCCACTCTAGGGAAATGAAAGGCCACATTTTCTGCAATAAATACTGCCTAATGTACGTACCGGCTACAATGAACGAAGAATTCTGAAAGTACAGTACTCCGGCCTAAATATACAAAGAAGTGAATACCTTTTTTAGTCATTTATTACTACAGTGTGCGAGGAAATAACATTTTTTTTTCCTTTTTTCTTCCCCAATTCTTTTGCTTTTGTATATAGTATAAACTAGGTTATTGTTGTTGTTGCAAAACGAAGAAGCGAAATTTTAAGTTTTTTAATTTATTTTATTTAAAGATTGAGATAAAAGTTCAAAATAAAACTTATATCTTTAAAAATTACATCAAAAGTTCTAGTTCTATGAAACAATACACTCTACGAACAATGAGACATTACTCCTCTCTCTACTCCTATGAAACCATACAATACTCCTTTCTCTGCTCCTATGAAACAATACTCTCTATAAACAAATTATCAAATAATCAATCAAAATGTATAAATAAACAAATTTGTTTATAATAAAGCATTGCACGGCTGGACAATTTTTTTCAAACATTGTTTTGTGTTTGGGCTAAGATTGGTCTTCAAATTTTGTACTCCCTCCGTCTCAATTTATAGTATCTGTTTCGGTTTACGATGTTTGACTGAAATTATTTTCAAATCATTTTATATGACAAATGATATAGAGTTAAAAAATAAAAATACATATTAAAAAACTATATCAAAAGATCTACAAAACTAGTAGTGACAATAGTACTTTATTTTATCAAATTCCTAACAAAAATAGAGAAAGTAAGTGAATAAAATTTGACCCTGTAAATAGTAAACAAGCATTATAATTTGGGATGGAGGGAGTAAGAAATATAGATATCACCCTAAATAGGACTAAAACATAGAGAAAAATAGAAAAATAAAACTTTCATGTTTTTTTTCCCCAAAATAATTAGGATTAGAAGAAGATACCACACAAAACAAATGAAACAATACTCTCTACGGACAGTATGATGCAATACTCTTGATTTTTTAGGAGTCTATGATCTCCAAAAAAAGAAAAAAAAAACATTTTTTGGAAAATTCTGAAAACAAAAATAGAAATAGAAAAAGGAAAAAACAAAAGAAATAATAAAAAAAGAAAAAGATGCAAATTGTTATTTTCTTTTTTTGAAGCAAAACGACCAAAACTTTCATTAGGCCAACAAATTCAATACAAAATCAGGATTAGTATCCCAAAATCTAGCAAGATTATGGGTAACTAAATTTGAATTACCAGAAATGAAAACAAGAGAAACAAAGCCAAAACTACTCAAAAGAGTCTCCTTGCATATATGCCTTTGCTTCAGCCACTAGCTACTTGGAAACCTCCCTCTGGACACTGTAAAAAAAGAAGAAGTTCATTCCTCCAATCCTCACCTTATCCCATACATACAGCAACTGCAAATGGACACTGTAAACAGACATGCTCAACAGACTCCGTTTGACAACCACGTACAAATCGCACAAACTTTAGCAATGCCTAACCCATTCCTATCCAAAGCCAAAACTACTCAAAAGAGTCTCCT